TAGATGTTTGTTTGTACAATGTTATAACTGGCTATTGTAATCATGCTGTGTAACTGCATCATTTGTACACGTTTGTGTTGATGATAATTACAAATCATTGTAATTTAATAATGTAATTAAATAATTAATTGCAGTTGTGAAGGAATTAAGAAATCCCACCTGGTTGAAGTGAGGGCTCTGAACAACCCCATCAGGTCATCAAGATGGCACTGGAAAGCATCTGCATGCTTATTGGAGAACCTTACACTGACTGGAAGAGTATCAGACAGATTGTAATGAAGGAGAACTTTATATCACTCTAGTAAAGCTTGTGGGCCTTTGGTGAAGTGGGCCATTGCTCAGGTAAGAGAGAGAGAAAGAGGAGTGTTTTAGTTAAAGTCTGATTTTAATCGTGTATATGGAGTTTAGTGATGCATATGCATGTTCTTGTGTTGTGTAGAAAGTTTGAGCTGATTCCGATTAAATTTGGATTTTTTATAAATTTTTAAATTTATAAAAAATTGGGTCAAAGTCCCTGTACTATAGTACAGGGGCGTTAGCTAAATTTCGCCAAACTTAAAAAGTAGAGAATTCTCAGTTTTTGTAATATTTTCTGATATATATACACGTACTTGTCCTTATGTTGTCTTTAAAGATTGAGTTAATTTTTTTTTTTTTTTCTAAGAGCATGGGAATATTTTCGAATTCTTTTTATTTAATTTTTGGAATTTTTTGCATTTTTTTCTCATGAGTGTGGGAATCTTTTTGAATTATTTTTTTGGAATTTTTTCTGATTTTTTCTGAGAGCATGGGAGTATTTTCGAATTTTTTAATTTTATTTTTGAATTTTAAAAATTTTATTTCAGGAGTGTGGGAATTGATTTGGATTTTCTTTATTTAATTTTTGGAATTTTTTCTGATTTTTTCTTCAAGCATGGAAATATTTTTAGAATAGTTTTATTATATTTTTTGAATTTTTTTAATTTTTTTTGGCAGTGTAGGAATATTTTTGGATTATTTTATTTTTGTTTTTGAAAATTTTTCTGATTTTTTTCAGAGAGCGTGGGAATATTTTTAGCTTTTTTAAATTTAATTTTTGGAATTTTTTTGGATTTTTTGTGGAAATATTGTCAGATTATTTTTATATTATTTTTTTTAATTTTTTTCGACAGCCTAAGAATATTTTCATATTTTTATTTAATTTTTTTAATTTTTTGAATTATTTTATTATGAGTGTTATAATGTTTTTTCATTATTTTTGTTTTATTTTTGGAATTTTTTCTGATTTTTTACGAGATTATGGAAATATTTTTGAATCATTTTATTCTTATTTTTGGAATTTTTTCTGAATTTTTTTCAACAGCGTGGGAATATTTTTGGATTTTTTTAGAACTAAGAACCCTGTCAGGAAACACTCTCATTATTTCATACTCAATCCCTCTAGGACGTTGAGAGCTACGACCCAATCCGGAACCCTGTCCTATCCTAGACGACAACAGGTATCCCCAATTCTAATTATACATAATAGTAACTTCTAATAATAGTGACAATACATCTAAATATAGTAACAACTATTACATGATGTAATCTTTGTTGTGTCTATTTTTAGAATCATTACTGAGCTTGAGACTCTTAAGGAAGAGGCTGCAGAAGTTCAGAGGAAGATGGAGGAGACTGATACTGTAATGGCTGAAGTTGACAGAGTCTCCCAGCAATACCTGCCTCTCTGCACCTCCTGCTCTGCCATGTACTTCACTCTGGAGTCACTCAATCAGGTAATTGAAATCATGTGACTGTCGTGTGATTTAGCGGTACTTTATTTTGATGGTTTTGCTTGAAAATTACATTAGACCAGGTTTTAATTGGCAAATTTGTCTATGCATGTATTACTAAACATTTCACTATTGAAAATTTTGATTGCAAAATGCCAAAAAAATTAATGTATTATTATCTTAATTTGGTTGTACAGGGATTTTTTCAGAAATTGGCATATTTTTTAAATGGTCATAACTTGAAAAATTTAATTTGGAATCAGCTCAAACTCTGTACATAGCATAAGTACATCAATATGTATCAGAAAATTTAATAAGAATTGGTGGTGATTTTTGAGCCATTTTTTGGAAAAAACCATGGGCTATAATAGTACAGGAATTTTTTCAGAATTTGGCATATTTTTTTAATGACTGTAACTTGAAAAATTTAATTTGGAATCAGCTCAAACTTTCTACATACCATAAGTACATCAATATGTATCAGAAAATTTAATAAGAATTGAGGGTGATTTTTGAGCCATTTTTTGGAAAAACCATGGGCTATATATAGTACAGGGATTTTTTCAGAATTTGGCATATTTTTTAAAATGGCCGTACCTTGAAAAATTTAAGTCGGAATCAGCTCAAACTTTCTACACAGTATAAGGACATCAATATGTATCAGAGAATGTAATAAAATTTTGAGGTGGTTTTTGAGCCATTTTTTGGAAAAAAACATGTGGTTTTAGCTTTTGCTTTTTTCGGAAAATTCACTATTTTAAAAATTGCTGCATATTTCAAAAGTAATTTTTTTGTTAGAATTAGCTTAATGTCTGTATTATCAATAATTAATCATTTCTTATTATTTATTATAGGTTGTGGACCTGAGGCTGAACTCATCATCTCAAGGACTGATCTCTCATTCATATACTGAAGATCTATAGACTGGGTTTAGGAACTAAGGACTGTAACACTATAAGACTGGTTTAATTAATTAAAATCATTGTTGACTTGTACTCTACATGTATGACTGAAGTGTGTTTATTATTTTATTGTCATTTTTCATGATTGAATCTCATTTCTGTTTATAAGTCATTGCACCTGTTTCTGCATTAATGGCTCTCGCAATAATTTTAATCAAAATTCATAATAATCAATGATAAAAAGACAACTTTGTGTATTAAACAAATTATGCTAAAATTATAAATAATAATGGTAAGTAATTCTTTATAGTCTTCAGTTAATGTACAGCTTCAAACAGCAAACAATTAACCTATAGCAATGACAACATATTGAACAATACTATACTTAGAATACTTCTCAATGTAGTCTTCAATAGCAGAGAATTGTACTTATCCTCTTAATGTCACTAACCTAACAATGGAATGTAATTCATCATACATAGTTACTGTTAGTATCTATTCTTCTTGTATGTAGTGCTCTTAGCATCACTAGCAGTAGTAGCCACTAGTGATCCCAGGCAATGTCATGTGGAGGCAGCACTACATTGCTGCCCACACTAGAACAGAGAACAATTATAACTATATTGACACATACCTAATGTACTTGAACCTTTAACAGGAACTTGCTATAACCTTAGGAAAGAGAAGGTTAATACATGACACATACTGTAAGATATGTCCATTTTGAAATATCTGAACTTGTGATTTTGGGGAGGGAAATTTTGGTGAATTTGGTATTTTGATAATAGCCATTCACCAAAAAAATTTACCATTATGAACCATTATGTACACATGGTGTCATCAATCCTGTTAGAAAACTCTAGCAGAAGGTTCCAAGTGTCTTTGGGTATTGCTCTTTATATTGAGACTGAGAACGAGAGATAGAGAGAGACAGAGGGGAAGGAATGGCCGTAACTTAAAAAATTGAAGTTGGAATCACCTCAAATTTTATACACAGCATAAGGACATTAATATGTATCAAATAATGTAATAAAAATTTGGGGTGATTTTGGAGCCATTTTTGGAACAAACCCTGGGCTATAGCCTTGGGTATTTTTCAGATACCCAATATATTTCCCAGTATCTCCAGTAGTGCTGAATCAGACACAAAGAAGAACTGAGGAATTTGTACATGTACATAGTTAGAGTATATACTGACCTATGAATAATAAACCAACCATACAATCATTAATGTACATGTACATGTTCATTGTAAAGTGCTGTACATGTATATGCATAAAATCATCAAAAAATTTACAAAGAAATAAAGCTGCCATACATTAAAGTGCTGTACAAAATACAAATTATTAAAAGAGGAGGACATTACAATTAATACAGTATAGACCTACCATCTTCATCATAATTGCTCATGGTGCATCAATCCTGTTAGAACACTCTAGCAGAAGGTTCCAAGTGTCTTTGGGTATTGCCAGCTCTTTTATAATGAGACTGAGAGAGGAAGAGAGAGAGAGAGAGAGAGAGAGAGAGAGAAAGAAAGAGATAAAATGTAACTTTTACATGTAATTACAAGTATTGTTTACTCTTAAAAATTCACACCACAAGTCTAAAAATTTGAAGCGACCAGTAATTTACATGATCCTACATGTACATGTACATGTATAATATTATGTCACTAGCCTAGTCCTTTCTGCCCGAGTTTTTGGCAACATTAAACGTAAACTGGTAGAAGTCCTTGAACTGTTGTGAGTCCTGTATCTCTCAATCAATGGTCTCACACCTTTTACGGAGTTTATTAATGGAATCATACCTAAAAGAGGGAGAGAGGGGGGGAGAGAGGGAGAGAGACAGAGACAAAGAGAAAGAATTATACATTTATTTGTAGAAAGAATGTGAATCAG